TGTGTGTGTGTGTGTGTGTCTGTCTGTCTCCGTAGAATTAGACCAGTCTGTAGTGCACCAAGTCATACCGAACGAATAAAATCATTTTGTCTTTAGAATGTGATGGGGAAGACACTTGTTCGATTTGGCAGAATTTGAAGATGAAGGCTCCACATCGCACACAATGGAAAGACCGCTGGTGTCTCAAGAGGGTCGGGAAGAGACATCAACCTGCGTGGAAAGCCAGAAGAATATCCAACCAACTGATATCGGGCACAATCAGCAAGCCAACCCTTACATGGATCCTGGAGAGGAGGAAGAAGCAGCTATGATATTGCACCGACTGCAATGATACAAATTCTCCAACCAAGTAAGTAAGCAAGCAAGCAAACAAGCAAGCAAGCAAGCAAGCAAGTACGAAGTACGTTGGCGGCTGCTCTGTATATATGTGAGGCATCGTGGTGAAATCCGGCGCTCCACAAAATTACAATGAAATTGGAGAAAAAGGGAATTCCGCCAGTTTGGCAGTTTTTTCGATTTTTGTTGTTGTTTTTTTATTATTTTTTTTTTGTGGTCAACAACTTTTATATCCTTATAAAAACGTGTTTCCATTTGAATATTTTAGAGAAACGTTGACATACGGCCCAAAATATGTAAAATTTTCTGTTTTTAAAGGCTCTCAGGCTATTTAAGTTATCAGAAGTGGCGGCCATTTTCTCGCCAATTTTACCTCTGACATCCGATGACCCCGACCTCAAACAATTACTAATGTCTCAACTTCCTTTAAAAATAGATGGATATTCTTTTCATCAACAGTAAGGCAAATAAACAAGCTTTAAAATAATAACAATAACTTCACATGCGCCTGATTCCATCGCGTCGTGACGCATAATATAGTCGAAATAGATTGTGGTTGTCTTAGACAAGAGGACGTCTCGAACAGAGTCATTATGATAGAGAAAATTGCAAAGGGGCGGAGGGGGGACAATAAAATAGATTGTGAGTGAATTTTGGGGGGGGGGGGGGGGTTGACGTTTGTAAGTAGAGATTGCCTTGGACAGGTGGCTGTTAGAGAAGGTTTGACTTCTTTTTTTTTGTTGTTCATGAGTAGTTGCTCAGTTTGACTGTGCTCGATAAGATACCAAAAATTGGGAAGACGTCTGGTAGAAAGAGAGCGCTCCGTTGTTAGAACGTTTAAAACATATTATATATAATAATATGTATATATATATATATATATATATATATATATATAATGTTATGTTTTAAGTACACACATGTCCAATAATTTGTTTAATGTTATATCTTTATGAATGTAATGAGCACAGGGCATTTTCTAGAAACTGGAAATGCGCAGCACAATTAATGATGTTTATTATTATCACCGGTATTATCAGTTGTTGTTTTTTCATAGACGTGTATTATATTATCAAAGACTGGTCACCCCTGGCATAATTCTAGTTCACAATGGAGAACACCATTGGACTTTACTAGAAACCATGAGAAGGGCAGGTTAGGAAACGTTGCGTGGATGTGTCATCATCTCCTTTCTCAGAGGCCTCTGAGATTGACATGCAACGATTTGCATTCACTATAATAATATTAGAGTATTGTTGTCGGCTGGCTGCTCTGGTGCACTCTGATCCAGCGAGCGAACTGCCCAAGATTTCTATCGTCAGTCCAGAGTAGTCTCTGCCTTTCTATCGCCCTCATCCCTTCTTGTTTGTCTTTTAGTACTTATTTTTTAAACGTGTTGTGTCTCTGTATGTGGCCAAATTATTGTAGTTTCCTCGCTCTTTTTATTTAATTTAGAGGCTTTGGTAATATCCTTAATATTTCGTAGAGGTTGTTGTTTTTTTAATTGGTTTTCTTCTCTACCCTTCTGATCTTGTCCAGCTATCTATAGCACCTTTACCAAAAGCTAATGTTAATTCTTTCAGCTTTCTGTTTGATATGATGTCAGCATCGGCCACTCTGATGCTCTGGCTTGCTGCGATTATACAGAACCGACTGGTCAGAAAAGAGCGCACCCCATATCAGGAGGAGGAATCGTGAGTGAAGTTCAAGTAAACAAGCGAGATTGATTAATAATTGTGTTATGAGGTCTGCAGCCCGCCTCGCTCGGACTTTTCCAGTCTGTAGAACTTTAAGGGAAAGAATGTGAGTCTGAAGGGTGAGATCAATACCGCTAGTAACGACTCCGCGAAGCTGAACACTACACTTATCATCAGAGCTTTCGCTCAAGCCGGGCCTAAACTCTTTCTCTGGCTGTCCATGGAGTTCTGCGAATTCGCCCCGATTGCAAATCATTGCTGCGTTTCCGATAATCATCAGCGTCTAACGACTTTTGTTGCGTCATCAGAGAAGAAGCACGTCTGCCTGTCATTTGATTGGTTGTTAGGGACGCCGAAGAGGAGGAAATTGCTAGCGTTGTATAACCCTCTAAATAGTTATTTCTGACTATTTTTGTCATTGAATAGAAATTCGGACGCTGATGAAGAGGGGGGACCTCTTTAATGGATTCGCTAAATGTCTGAAGTCTCCCAGGAGAAGAATGTGGTTTATTGGACGCAGAAGAGAACTTCCGGATGTGATGTAAGCCTTCCCTACGTCATTCTGCCCCTTCATGAAGCAGTTACGGGCGGTGTACATTGCATTGTGTACATTGTGGATCCAAGTCAGATTTGAATTTCTATAAGACTTTTACGGCATAGCAGCTCAACTAGGACGTATGAGTGCAGAAGATTAGAGACTTCTCTTGAAATAAAAAATATTTTAAAAATACATAGAAAAAAGTAGGAGAGATTAGGACACATATTGGTGCTACTGTATATTCCCCGGTGTGTAAATGCTGAACGTATTTTTTAAGCCGTCATAATATGTCTTTAAAAGCTCATTTAGCATTGTGACCTATGGAAATGCGCTACCGATATATAAATGCCATCTATTATTATTATTATTATTATTATTATTATTATTATTATTATTATTATTATTACATGTTTGATAGGAAAGACGGAGGAAACCACATCAAAGCACATCGAAAGCACTCAGTGAGAGGGGGAAGTGGCGTCGGTAGCCTCTTGGTAGGGATACCGGACTCGGAGTCATGAGGTTGCGAGTGCGGGGGTTCGAGTCTCAGCTCAGTCCGACGTTGTGCCCTTGGGAAAGGCACTTTACACATAATTCCCACTTTGCTCCGACCTTTCGGAGATGGACATTAAACTCGGAGGTCGCGCCTTTTAATTAACCTAATAGTGTTGATAGAGGCATGAAACCCATACCATTCCACCATTTGAGAGGGGGGGGGGAGTGGAGACTGACATCGTGTTGATATGTTTACATGTATATTGATGTGTATGACTCCACCACGCCTCCCCCCC